TTTCTTTAGTTTATCCTTTTTTGTCTCTGTGTTTGATTTCTGCACATGTTGTCTATATATACATTTATCTGATTTGGGAAGGGGAAGGGGAAGCATAGAAATGGTGGGACAAAGGATGAACTAATTCAGCAGTGATGCTGACTTGACACTATGTTGGAAATGAACTATATAAATTGGGTGGGGAGGAGAGTTAGGAGGGGAAAATCTGGGAGGGAATGAGGAAGGGGTAACACTGTTCAAAAGGAAATATACTCATGACCTGATTTATTTAACTGTAACCTCTCTGTAATCACCTTTACAATAAAATGTTAAGAATAGATATATAAATAAAGTCAAAAGCGTGACTTGAGTGGTAGAGCACCTGTCAAACAAGTACATAGCCTTCTCTTTAATACTGTATTAACTGCCAGAGGATGGGAGGAGGAAGGGGAGGGGGAGGAAGAAGGGAGGAGGAGGGGGACGATGAGGAAACCACGCATATCATAAAGTGTTCTTTGTACTTAAATGACCTTTCTGATTATGTTTCCTCATTTCCAAATGGCTATAATGACACTGGTTTTGAGAGCTTTTCAATTTTTAGTGGAGTCATAAATGAGAGATATCAAACAGAGCCAGTAACACATAGCACACATTCAATAAATGGAAAAAAAAACTCATCTGGGTTAATATGCAATACATGTTGTAGGAGAGCCAATTATCTTAGTACTGCTTCGGGGAAAGCTATTTCCCCTTATTACTTATAAGACACTGAAATAAATTTAAACCCAGAATATTGCAATAATTTAAATAAATGTCATTTCTAGAACCTTTAATTCATAATTTCTGATAGTGAATTAATGAGATGCCATTAGGGTCATGGCTACTATTCTATGGTTTTATGAATGAAAAATAATGGGTTTCAAATATCTCATTTGTTGTGTGAGCTTGTGTAACGTGATGTTCCTAAGCTTTAGCTCTAACGTGAAAAGAAGCTAAGACAACTAAGATCATAGAGAGTTATTGCAAATGACTAAATGGTACATTATGTTCTTGCCACAATAATTTACCCCTAACTAAGTTTTCATCTAAAAATATGCCTTGTTGAATGGCAACTCCTTTGTACAACTACTTGAAGGTAATAATATTAACTTTCAAATGATTTATTTTATGATTTTTATGATTAGATTGACAAAATTCAGAGCTGAATGTTGAAAGAGGTGATGAGCCTGATCAAAATCCATTGTGTTCATAAACTGCTTTGTACAAAGACTTAAGGATAATAAAATATTAAAGAAAAGAAAATAAGAGCTATGTTTGCTTTTAAGATGAATGTGATTCATTTTTTGAGCAAAAAAAAAAAATAGAAAAATTTAAGCCAGAAAGCACAGAAACTATAAAATAATTTTAAATAATATTTAAAACAAGGTTAGCATCTTTTACAAATAAAATATATGGTTAAATTTATTATAAGATAAAATGTACTAAGTGATTTAAAATTTTAGTGGCTCTGGGAAAAACTTTATAGCTAGATATTATCCTATGCATTATATCAATTAATTAATTTAGGTAGTCAGGTAATTCTTTCATTTTCAGATTCTTCTTAACTTATTCATTCAGCAAATACTTAGCAATTACACATTCTAGATGCATTGAGTGTAAAGATAAAAATGACTTAGTCCATGACTGAGTAAGTCACATTCAATGTAAGAAAAATAGCAAGATATTTATTCACTCACTCATGTGAAATTTATTGAGCAATACTAGATGATGGATCGTCAAAGATGAATGGTCCTGACGGCTTCTGTTCTTGAAGCGCTCACCATCAAGAGAGCATGATGAATTCTACTGACATGTTTTAAGTTTTATGATAAAGGACAGCAGAGGAAATGTCATACCTTTCCACTTTCTCTTGTGGATAAAGCAGTGGTCACAAGGAGTTGACAGCTAAGCGATGTCTTAAAAGATGGGAATAAGAAAGATCATGTGAAAAGCCCATGTATCAATCAGCAGGCTTGAGGAACTGCAAATTGTTCAATGGGTCCTCATGGATAATGTTAGGATCCTAAAGTAAAATACCCTCTGAGGGCTCAAGTGCTAAAAGTTTTGTTGCCAGTTGAAAGGCCTTTGGGTTATGTGGGTTCAAACTTCCACAATGGATTAATCCAAGGTGAAGTTCTAAATTGATGACATTATTGAGAGATACTAGAATCAGGAAGTAGGGCCTACTTGGAGGAGGTGAGTCACTGCAAGTCTGCTTTTAAAGGACTGATCTTGTCCCTGGTGCCACTTCTGTCTCTCTACCTCCCAGGTGATATGAGACATAGATCTTGCTTTACCTCATGCTGTCCACTGTGGTATTCAGCTTCCCCTCAGGTTCAAGGCAATGGAGCCACCAATCCTGGAATGAACACTTTGTAACTGTGAGCTGGGACAAATCTCTTCCCTCTTGAAACTCTTCCTTTCCAGGGCCTGTCACAGTGACTAACGCAAAGGGAGTCAATGCTGCAAAGGGAAGGGGCCAGGAAACAAATGATCGTTTTACCACCATGCTGAGTGCACTGGACTTCATCCTGTCAGCAATGCGTTGTTATTAAATGGTATGTTTACCTTTGACTTTTAGAAAAGGAATTCATATAGAGGTTTGGAGGATGTGTACAAAACAGATACTCTGCACAGGGCAGGAAGAAGAGAGAGGTGGGCTTGCAAGAAATCTTTTTTGTTTTATATGTGGTGCTAAAGACATCACTGACTATTTGAGGAAAAGGGCTGAATTTTTAGTGTTGCTCTCCCAGCTAAGTGATACACAAGAAGAGGTGAATGATGATGTTAACAGTCATCTGTTGAGTTTTAGGTAACTGTGGATTAAATTGTGAAAGATGTCCTGAGCCAGTTCTCTATAGATCTTCAGAGTAAAATAAATGAATTAGGTTAATAATTACAGTTGTCTAATGAAACTCTGTTGTACCCTCTAGAGCAAGAATCGGTTCTGTGGTCCCTTCAGAGAGTGGCCCTATGCCCTTCTACAAATAGCTCTATGAACACCAAATGCTCCTTTCTCCACATTTCATTCCTCTAAATTTGCCTTATCCTACTCCTACCACTGACCACAAAACACAAGCTCCTAACGAACATGTTAGGTGATATCTTTTTTTGTTTGTTTGTTTGTTTTTTAATTTTTATTTTTTGTGAACATACTGTACAGAGGGGTTACAATTACATGGGCAAGATAATGAGTACATTTCTTATCAAGCATTGCAGCCTCCTCCTTTGTTTACCCTTCACATCCCTTCCCAGCTTCCCTCACACCCCCGCCCTGTCCCCCCACCAAAGTTGTAAAGTTCGTTTTCGACATGACAACTTGTACTTCTCATTGTTGCAACGGGCCCACCTGTATCCTTAAACGACTTGTTTTTCCCCATCTCCTCCACAAATTATGTTAGGTGGTATCATTAAGTAAAGTAAAAACTAAACTTTTGAATTTTTGAGAAATGGGGAGAGAAGCTACCTGAATACATCCTTTTTTTCTTTCATCCCTGAAAACAATTGTTAGTAAGAAACCAGTCTGCACAAATGTTGAGTCTTATTTTGTGGCCTTTAAAAATAATAGACACATTATCCTCATGTGCAATCATTTCTTTTCTCAATAGTCACGTAAACTTTCCTCTAAAGTACACATTATCATCTTCATTACTGCACCAAGTCATCTGTAGATCTTCTTTAGGCCCCTACTACAGCTCATTGATGGTTATTTGAATTTTTTAAGTAGTAAAATAATATCATTTTACCATTTTACCAATCATACGTTATTTATGTATTTATTTTTTGCTGGTTCTGGACTGGAACTTGGGATTTGGGTGCTGCCCCTGAACCTCTTTCTGTTCAAGGATAGTGCACTACCACTTGAGCTACAGCACCACTTTACAGCTTTTTCTGAGTAGTTTACTGGAGTTAAGAGTCTCACGGTCTTTTTTGCATGCCTGGCTTTGAACCATGATCCTCAGATCTCAGCCTCCAGAATAGCTAAGATTACAAGTGTGAGCCACCAGCGCATGGTGTAAGTTGTTGTTGTTGTTGTTATTGTTATTATTTGTCAGTCATGGGGGGCTGAACTCTGGGACTGGGTGCTGTCTCTCAGCTTATCAGCTCAAGGCTAGCACCCTACCACTTGAGCCACAACGCCACTTGCAGCTCTTTTCTGCTTACATAGTGTTGAGGAATAGAACCCAGGGCCTCATGCCTGAGAGGCAAGCACTGTACAACTGAGCCAATTTCCCAGCCTGGTGTAAGTTATTTTTAAAAACTCAAAAAATTGAATTCTTACACTATGACTTTGCACTAAAATATATCCTAGATAGATAAATTAGTTTTTGTCTACATTCTAGCAATCAATGTTTTCAAAGTTTAATAGCTTTACTGCAGTATCATTTATGTTTAGAGACTATACATGTCTAATGTATATAATTTAGTAAGTTTGGTTATATTCATATCCTCATAAAGCCATTAATGTAATCAAGCTATTAACACATCTATCACTTCCAAGTAAAATTAAATGATGTCTCAAATTTATTAAAGTGTTTCTTTTTTTTAATAAGGTTTTTATTATGAAAATACTATACAAAGGGGTCACAGTTACATGAGCAAGGTAATGAGTACATTTCTTATCAAGCATTGTTGCCACCTCCTTTGATTTTCCTCTACCATCCCTTCCCTCCCACCTCCACAAAACTACACTCCCCCCTCCCCTCTTCCAGCCTAAACTGTAAAGTTCGTTTTTCAACATAGTGTCTTGTATATTTCATTGTTGCCATTGGTCAACCTGTATCCCTATTTAAACATTTTGTTTTTTCCCTTCCTCTCACCAAATTATACCAACATCAAATACAGAGACAACAGGGGTTACTGTCTTCAAACAGTTTCTTACTTTCTTTTCTTCTTTCTTTCTTTCTGTCAGTCATGGGGCTTGAACTCAGGGCCTAGGTGCTGTCTTTGAGGTTTTTGCTGAAGGCTAGTGCTCTACCACTTTGAACCACAGCTCCAGTTCCAGTTTTCAGGTGGTTGATTGGAGAGAAGAGTCTTACTAACTCTCCTGCATGGCTGGCTTCAAACCACCATCCTCAGATCTCAGCAATTCCAAGTACCTTGGGTGGCCACCAGCACCAGCCTGATTGCTTACATTCTTAGGAGATATTAATCATTTCCCTTACAAAACTGGATTTCCTGGCTGATTGTTGATGCATTCTCTAAATTATTAAATAAATAAATAAATAAATATTATTCACAAAATGGGCCAGGGGAAAAACTTGTGTTTCAGTAATAATGTTCATGTGGCTTTTCCCTCTGTTATTGAACCTTGTGATTTGCCAAAGAAAAGAATAAAAGTCACAAATCCCACAGTGACTGCCCTCCTGTCCTTGTTGCCCTGAGGCTAAAGTGAGCCTACCCTCCGGGACATGAAGGCTGAGAGGGAGAAAAATTTCTAATTATAAGGTAGCTGTTCAAGTGAAATAACAACAACAAAAACCAAAACTAACTTGAGTTCTGAAATAAAACCAATTCTCACTCAGGGAGCTCCCTCCACAGTATCTGAGGTAGAGGTTAGCTCAGAAAGAAGTCTGACTGTTTGTAGGTGGGCCAGAGTCTTAACTCTTTCATTGTTTGTGATTGGTAGTAATAGTTAAAGCCCTAGTATATTCAGGAACATTTAATTCAGATGTTCCATGCTTCATTTGTTCTACCTTTAGAGGTTCTTTCAAAGTAACAATTCATCCAATCCATGAATCTGATGTGTCAGTTGATTCCATCCCAGTGGCTGTTATGAATTTATTGAATAAGCCACAGTGCATGAAAAACAATATGAACAGAGTCCTCTCTGAATTTGTAAGCTATGTTGGCTTAAGCATTACTCATAATACTAATAATAAAAAAACAGGTCCTGAGCTCCTATATATTGATTAAATTTTAAAGCTGCTATTTGGGCAGTAGGAAACGTGAATACTGACAGGTAAATGGATACATTCTGAGAAAATAGATTCTTCATTGGACTCCGGTGTTCTGAGATTTGATGAGAAATGTGTGCTTTGATGAAAATTCTTACAAGGTTGGGTCTTGCAAGCCAAAGAAAAAGTCCAAAACAGATACTCTCAAACCTAAATGTGAAGTATGTTTCTCAACTAAAATGGAAAACCAACTTAAACATGAATGGGACAATATTGGTTATGTGAGCAAATCTGGGATTGACCCGAGACAACTTGCCTCTCACTTGAGTGTTTCATCTTGCTTCATTGAATTAAGTGTAGATTTGCACTCCCACCTGAATGTGAATATAAATTCAGCTAAGTCATAACCTCTGAACTTCAGAGTGTTATCCATTTCTTTCCTCTGTGAAGCCCTTGATACTGGTTTATAAGGGTGCTGTGCGGATGATTTGTTCTTATAGGAAAGGTACGAAGCCTCCTCTGCAAACCTCAGACTCAATGGTTCCGGTTTTATCTCCTGTAATTTGTCAGCATGTGACTTTCCTCAAACAAGTATTTCAAAAGAATGATGGCAAAATTAAGAGCCATGGTTCACATGAAACTGCTTTCACTCTATTTTGAAAGATTATTTTACAAATAAAGATATTGCATTGACATTGGCTTATGTTACCCTCAAGATCCTTTTTCTATAGCTCTTAACTGTTTACAAAACTCTTTTTGCATTTGCTATCTCATTATATCTTCATATTTGCCCTCTGAAGTAACTATTACTGTCTGTATTTAGCAGATGAGGAAAATAAAGCTCAGGAGATTAAATGACCTGCCTAACCTCACACAGTTTACAGCGGCAGGACTTAATTCCCAGGTTTCCGACTTCTAGCATTTAAAAAGAAATAATTGCATTCCACTCTTTACAAGTGAATAATGGGTTGACTATCCAGTGGATAATCATACTGTGGAGTATTTCTGGAACTTTAGAGATCAATTCACAAAATGCTAAACCAGCGATCTTAGGAACAGGTTGTAAACAGTGAGGGGTTGAGCAAACTTTTAATGAACAGAGCCTATCATGGGATTCAGAGCAAGGCAGTTCTATTTTTTGTGCTCAGATATTCCTCTTCCTTCACTAAAGGTGTGTTAGTGATTAAGTGGGTTAATTGTTCAGAGTACTACATAGATGAGATCAATTTAGCCATCATCTTCCCCTGTCCAATCCAGCATTCTTTTCAGTGAAAATAACAGATAAAAGAAATAGAACTCACCAGAACCCGAATGAGGTCCTGGAGAAAGCCAGAATGGGTCAGATTAATGTTTATTCCACAATGCCATATGTCATGAACATAAAAGTTTTTCAGGTCAGTACCATTTAGCTCAAATATTTGTTCTTGTCCATCTTCAAATGGTTGTACAAGGGGATTACAATTGAATGTGTCCAGTGAGTCCTGATCTGAGTCATCTCTTCTATCATTCTCCTCATCTTCGCTCTCTTCCTTCCCTCCCTCTGGGAGTCATGTCATGTTTCCTACTTCCTTTATCACACATGTACACTGAATAAAGAACTACGGCTGCAGAAAACTAGGGTGGGGAAAGAGGAAGCAAAAGAAATTTGTTTACACAAGTTTATTCCCAGATGTCCTAAATTACGCCTCAAAAATAATCATTTAAGCTGTTCCACACAAAGAATTTGTAAACAAGCATTTAGAGTATACCTCTTTAAATGGGAAAGTTAAGGGAGGAAAAGACAGAATTTGTAAGCAGTGGATTTTGCTTCAGCAGCATCACACACGTCATATATCATGCAAAAAGAAGCCAAGTGTAAAAGACAAGCCACCAATTCACTAATGTCCCCCAGTTGGAGTGAGGAGGAATTAAGAGTCACACAGCGTGCACAATCTCTGCTGAAGTGGAACCTGGAAATTCCCTGTCCTCTTGCTTCTATTCTCACACTATCCAAATGCCCTTCGTTTAGTTCATATTTGATTTGCCTTGTAAGAGGACTCTCAAGCATAGTGCAGAAGTGCTATATTTGTGGGTTGTGTGTGTGTGTGTGTGTGTGTCTGTGTCTGTGTCTGTGTTCTAGTTCTAGAGTTTGAAATCAGAGTTTGGGCACTGTCCATGAGCTTTTTTGGCTCAGGAACAGTGGTTCCACTTCTGGCTTTGTGCTGGTTAGAAATTAGTCTCACAGGCTGTCTGCCTAGGTTGGTTTTGAACTTTGAGCCACAGATCTCGGCCTCCTCAATAGCTACAATTACAAAGGTGAGCCACTGGCACCCTGCATCTGCCTTATTCTTAAGCAAAAGGAGGTAGTAGTTTTCGTTCTGGTTAGATAAGCTTTGTGCAGATTGGATCAACAATATTTTAAATATTTAGATAAGAAATCATACCAAGGGAGTTCATGAATTGATAAATTAATGAACTCTAATCCTGTGTTTTCCCTTTAGGTCATGGTTGACAATTTGCAGATTCAGTCTTCCCTAGGATTTAACATAACATATAACCACATCACAAAAGGAGATTTATCTAAGGCTTTTGTTTCTAGTCTCTGAAATTTTCAATCAGATAAAACTAAAAATATAATAATAATTTGTGTCATTGCTTTGAACAACAGAAGTGGTAGACATAAGCTCAACGTTTTGAATCAAGTTGTAGATTTTTTAAAAAATGTATTTCAAATGTTTGTAATATATATATATATATACATACATATATACGTATACATGTATATATAACTAGATGTATGTATTTTCAGGTATACTTTGTAACTTTTAGCAGAAAACAAGAACTTGGAAAGTAATTCAAGTGAATAGAGCTTTTCATAATGTTGTAAAAGAATAGTGTTATCAAATAAAATGAGGGACCAACAAACCTCATATAAGGTCTGACTGTAAAAGACATCTATATTATTATAACATTAATGCTATTGAAATATAAGCCTCACATGAATATTTTTATGTACTTTAATTTTGTTGTTGAATAAGAGTAGTTGATTTTGTGTAGCTCATTATGATTTGTTTGTTTGGTTTTTTTTTCCTCCCTCAGCCGGTGAGCAGAGGTATAGGGGATAAAAAAGGCTAAAAAGAACCACTGCCTGGGCAAAAGGAGGGCCTGAGACATACAACAAGGTTACTCCATCTACCTGCATAGACACCTTTCTCCTGCCAGGCGGGCCCCGGAGCTGAGCTTGACACTGGTGAATAGCTCCAATGTGAGAGCCATGATGCAGGAACTGCAGGCCTTTCTGGAATCCTGTCCCCCTGACCTACGGGCTGATTGTGCCTCAGGTATCCTGTTGGCTGCAGAGAGGTTCCCAGGAAGCAGAGGGTGCCGCCTGGGAAGGAGCACATGTTCTGATATCAGAACTGATAAGTAATGTTCCCTAGATTTGCTCCAACCAAACGGTGGCACATAGACACCATCCTGCGTGTGCTGACAAAGGTGAGACAGGGCCCAGTCTGAACTGGTCATTATGGTTTTGAGACCTATTTTTAGTCATTAGATGACTCTCACAAGGTGAGCAGACATGTGGATTCCACCACAAGATGGCCGACGGGAGCAGTCAGTGCCTTTTAGTGGGCTCTGTTACTTGCCTCTAAGAAATCACTTGTATATCATTGTTGAAATTAAAAATTCAGAAGATTTTAAAGTGTCTAGCTCCTCTTTAGCCTTGAGAAATGTTTGCCATTCTTTATTCTTCCACAAAGCCAAATCACAAGACAATAGAACACTATCCTAAATGAATGATTAATTTTTAAATTTTTTAAAAACTAAGACATTTCACTTTGCACTTCTCACCGAGAAATGTATTCTAGCATGTCAAGGATAGCAAAAGTATTTACGACATGTCAGTTGGATTTGTCACCTGTGTTACAATTTCTTGCTAAAATTTCATGGTTTTTGTTGTTGTTGTTGTTGTTGTTGCACAATAAATCCACAATTGGCAAGAGATGTTCAATTTTGGGAAACATGAAGCTTGCTTGATATTTCACAACAAAGAATGTTCTATTTTGGGCTCAACAGAAAAGTAACTTTAAGAAAAAAAATGTAGGTCTTTAAAAATATTGCTATCTTGTTACATTGAACTGATTTTTTTTATAATAGATTTTTAGTGTTTGGTAGCTACTGATTGGTAACTAGTGTTCAGTAGCTACTGTTGAACATTTTTGGAGGAATGCATTTGCGTTTGCAGGGGGTGGTGTGGTGGCACATATTTACTTGCACCTGGCAGATTATCTTATTTTAAATGGATTCAACAGTCTGTGAGGGGGCAGATGTTCATGACAACAAAAGGAGGACAAATTAGGCTCTGTTAAAAAAGGGAACATAAGGGAATAAACACAACACATGATTATTAGCCTACAGAAGTGCTGTAAGAAATAAAAACTTGACATGAATGAGAAAGCAGGATGTTGGTGTACAACAGGAAAATAGAGGAGGAAGACCAAGTGGCAAGATTTTATTCAAGTAAGAGAAAAAAAAATCATCTGTCAGAATTTCAACATCTGACGAAATCAAAAGGCAATGTGAGGAGACAAGTCTGCTTCACAAGGATTTGAGATGACACAGGTATGGGCCAGGAGTGGCCCTGCCCACAGGATCAGCATACAATGGTGCACATTGTATGCTGCCAGTGTTGTCACTTTGCTCAGTGTTGTTGTGAGCCCTTTTATCCTTTCCAGGATCCTGCCAAAAACCTGTGCCCTAGAAAGGTGATTTGGTTGTCATAGATTCTACATGAGTCCGATATTTCCAATGAACTCTCAATCGTTTGGCAAAGAGAGAGGATCAAAGGAGAGAAGGACAACTTTAGCCTTAGAAAGAAGCAGAACCAGAATGTTTTCACAATAATTTAGTTTTCTGAATTAAAACAAAATAGGCTTTATTGGTACAGTGAATAAAACTTTGCTACAAACACTCCATGGATCACTAAAACTGAGCCTGCTAGTTCTTGCCCTCTGAATGTACGTTAACATCATATATTAAAACACTATAGGAACTTGTGGCTCAGACTTGTGATCCTAGCTAGTCAGGAGGCTGAGATCTAATGATCACACACTTCAAAGGCTTCAGCCTAGGTTGACGAATTGAAGACGACATTCTTACCTCCAATTAACCAGAAAAAGTATGGACTGGAGGTATTGCTTAAGTAATAGAATGCCAGCTGTGAGAGTAAAAAAAAAAGAAAAAGGAAACAAAAAGAAAGAAAGAAAGAAAGAAAGAAAGAAAGAAAGAAAGAAAGAAAGAAAGAAAGAAAGAAAGAAAGAAAGAAAGAAAGAAAGAAAGAAAGAAAAGAAAAGAAAGAAAGAGAAGAAAAAAGAGCTAGAACATGAGTCCCTGAGATCAAACCCCAGTACTGGCACCAAATAGTATGATTCACATTTGGTAAATATAACTGATGTCAAGTATGAAGCTACCAAAATATCTTCTTCATTTTAGAATTATATAGCATTACCCTGTAGGCAAAGTCCTGAAGAGTTAGTGGGAAAAAAATAACTTTTTGATAAATAAAAGCATTAAAGCCTTTTTGTAAACAGTAAGAAGATCATGAGGAATGTAAAATCACAGTAAATTCGCATTGCTTTTTTTTCAGAGTTGGGTTTTCAGCTATTACATTTATGTAAAGTAGAGTGGGCCTCTATGCAGAACTCTTAGGGAAAGAGTTAATCCTGTTTCTCCAGTGTCTAATTTATCACAGTTACCTAAGGCACTGGAAGCATCTGGCTCAACACGTACATATTTTTCAAGTACAAATTAAGGACTGAGAATGAGGCCAGCAATGCACTGTTGTGTGCAGCAAGAGGATGGTCCCACCAATTGGGAGAGGCATAAATATTGCCTTGGATTTTAATAAGGATGAAGTTCCATATATCATTAACAAGTCTTCTGTCTATGTCTTAAAAACCTTCACTCATTGAGCTAGATCCCTGCTTAATATTCTATGTGCATGAACCAGTTTGGCTTGAGGTTGCATGAAGCAGTTGGGCATTAAAAATAAGATTCTTTTTATTGTTAGGATGTTTGCTGTTTTCTAAACCCTCTTTAAGTAACTTATGCTGTGATTTGTGCCATACTGTATATCTGCTTACTCATTTATGTCTACCCCATAGGATGTGAATGATTAGGGTAATTTTTTTCACACTGTTAACTAATCATCATTGATTTTCTCTTTAACTTAAAAAAATTAAGTTTAGCATTGGTCAACTTAGGTTGAAATAAGTGAGCAAATGATTTATCATTGTTTTATTTCTTTATAAATTCTCTAAAGCAGCGAAGTACGTTAAAATGATATTGAGATGAGAACCAGTATAGTGTTATCCTAAAAGCTTAGGTAAGACTAGAAAACAATGACAGTTTATAAGATCTAGTTTCTTATTTTTAATCATTTTTCTGATGTCACATGTGTGCACAAATAGTGCATGTTTTCTTGAGTCCGAAATGACTTCTTTGTTGATCTAGGAGAGTCTAGCTGCCTTAAGCAGAGTTTGCAGGAAAATACTCAGTAGTCTTGGGAGGGGGAGAGGTGGGGGACAAAGTGATACTTGTGTATCAATGAGCTCATATTGGATACATAAAAAGCATGAGACTCAGAAGGAAGGTTTTATGTGAAAAGACAAAGCTTTTATTATACATTTACTAATGCTACCCCAGGTGAAGAAAAGAGTCAGACTTCTGTCGTTTAGTGTCCGTATCTACGTTAATGCTAAGAGAAGCATATTTAGGGAAATAAGTGTCCTAAAATCTCATTAAACACAATTGTCTTTGTTCGGAAGGAAGAAGGTAAGAAGCTCCCAGAGTCGGTCAACACCAACTATTATTCAGGGAAGAAAAAGACAGGAAATACTTAACCTTGTCTCTTGCTCTGTGTGTTACTATGTCTTCCAGGCTCCAAGGTGATCAGTTTGACCTTTCTTTTAAGCACTAATTTTTTTTTTGAAAAGCCCTTAAAATGCCAACATGCAAATTGTACATAAAATATTTAAAACATGAGTCCTCATTTTGAAAAGGTGAATTAATGAATTCATCAATCAAAACCCTGAAGTTCTGAAAACCTCTAATTTTCTCTTGTTGTAATTTAGTGGGAGAAAAGTAGCCTTCTACGGGATAACTCCACAGAAATGTAATTAACCTTTACTTTGATGGGACAATTGGTGGAGTACATTGATAAATAAAACACAGAAAGACGTGCACATATAGACACACACTCACAATCTTTACCTGAATTTGTGTGAAAATTCAAACTTGCAAATGCTATGTTATTCACAGATATGAGCTGTTGTAATCAGTTTATAGATACAGAAAGGGGAACAGGCAGAAAGATACATAAATACCAACCAACATCATCACATTGCCACCAGTACAAGAAATGAAGACATTTGCTTTTGAACTAAGTTTGCCTAGTGATATTTGCCCCTCACACATATAATAGTACAAAATAAGATGATAACCTTCTGTTATTCTATCAGAAGTTCCAACAGTTGGTTCACATATATCATCACAGCAGTGAAAATTCTCAAATAAAACTTGTAGCACACTGTCTAACAAAGGGCCCAAATGTTTACCAAAGAAATTGCCCATGATAAACATTTGGTTCAGTTTGAGACAGCCAAGAAGGCAATTCTCTTTTTAAGACTAAAATGTGCATATTAAAACAAAATATAGCTCTGTACTTCTGCTGATTTGGGATAGATCTAGCTTGCCTTCTTCTACCTTTTCTCACTCAGTTTCCAACCTTTTTCCTTTCCTTTGCCTAATAAAGCCTTAGTTCATGTATATTTTATTTTAGCCAGTGTTGAAGGGTTGACAAGAGTTAAGGAGAAGGGTAAGAATATTTTGTGCCACATGGATCTTTGGTGTTATGGAGAGGAGATTTACTCTTCTAATTTTCACAAGTTATTGCTGCTTTAATTAATTTTATTTCCACAACTGAAAATGGATGTAGTATTTCTGGGAAAAGTAAAAAGCCCAGTTAAAAATAGGACATGACAGGATAATGAAATGAAATGAATACACCTTCTTTAAAGAATTCATATACTCCTGTGGCCTAATTTATTCCTTGCTTTTGTATCTCACTTGGTAAGGAAACTTCTTGGCCATCAATGGGTAGGTAGATGTGTGTGTGTGTGTGTGCGTGTACATGTATGTCCCAGGATCAATATATAAATGATTGACTTTTAAAATATAAATATGATTTGTATTTCAATATGAAACATAAGCAGACAAGATTTATGTATTAAATAATTTCTTTTCCTTTAATAGGAATTACTGAATTCAAGTTGGACTTTTAACTTGTTCATCTTTCTTTCAACATTCTTTTCTCCCAATATTTGCAAATATAATAAAAGTATTTGTGTATTGGAATAAGTGGAAATATTTTAATAAGTTATAGCATTACAGCTTTAAAATGCTTTTTAAAATATAACACCAAAATGAGCCTAAGAAATACATCATTTTTAAAGGATCTGATTGTATTAAAAAAAACCTATCTATCCCAACTGATATAGATGTACTCAGGGCTACTTGTGGGTTTGAATATGTTTGATTATGTTCTTTCTCTCTGTCTCTCTGTCTCTCTGTCTCGTGTGTGTGTGTGTGTGTGTGTGTGTGTGTGTGTTTAAGATAAAGTATGCATTCAAAATATCCTAGAACCATTCTCATTTCTCTCTAATTCCATGTATACTTGTGTTCCCTTGTTTCCTAGTTGTTGTTGTTGTTTGTTTTGTTTTTTTGGAAATAGGTGTTTAGTGCACAATTCTATTGTTTCTTCACTGTCTGTTTGTTTTAATTGGTCCCTGTACATTAGATATGTGGATCAAATTATGATGTGGCTGTTTATCTTGAGGTAGTAAGCAAATATAAGAATGCATCGGTGAGGCTTTATGATCCTCACAAAAACATGTAATATTTTAGTTTTATTACAACTTGTAATTGTTCAAACAAAAATGGTCAAAGTGCCATGAATGTTGGGTTTAGCTATCAAGACAGTTCCATACAGTAATGAGACTTTTCCTCTGTGGGAGGTCTATGAACTGCTAATTAGCATCTGTGACCTAATATTCTCTACCAAACAAGAGTAATAGCTGTAATTTCCAGTTTTATGCAGAGTACAAGTCTCGAATATTACCAGCATTTTGGTTTCATTTGTAATTAACTGCAAGCAATTATTACAGTCAAGAAAGTACATCCTAGTGCTCCTAATGCTCCAAGGTAATAAAAAAAATTATGTCTGTAAAACTTACATATGAGTCATGCTGAGGAACTGGAATTCTTAGGAAGCCAGGGTTTAAGAATCAATTTTTTTCTTTTTTAATGTTGGCAGTAGTATAATTCTAACTTGTAACTTTTAATTTCCTATGTCATTTTTTGTTCTTTGCTTGGAAATTAATGTTGATTAGATTTTGTAGTGAGATCATGGATAAAATTAAATATTAAAATTATAGCAGCTTGTGGGTGGAGGGGATCAGCATGATATTAACTTAAAAATGTTTCAAGAGACTGTTAATATATACTCAATAGATAGAGGTATATTTTACACAGAAAGAATGTTTTATAAGTGGAAATAAAAGTATTTTATTTTATTTTTTCCCATGGAAGTAACACTCTGTGCATGTCAGTAGACTTGTTCCATAAATTCTTTTTAAAATGACCTGCTGGTGATTTCTTACTTTTGAAAAAGAAATGAAACTTTATATATCTAGAACTGTGAAGAGATGCAATTCTTCAATGAGTTTTCCTGAATATATATTTTTTAATGCACCAAAGTATATTTTAAATTTTTTGCTGTATGTTTTCTTTAAAAGGCAAGCTGCATTGTACTCATAAATTGATATGTCTAAATTAAACAACTTTGTACAATAAAGAAAAGAGTTGCTATAACTTAAAAAAATAACCAAGGGGTTAGGAAGGTGGCTCAGTGGTAGAACACTTGCCTTGCATGCATGAGGCCCTGGATTCAATTCCTCAGCACCACATAATCAAAAAGAAAAAAGCCGGAAGTGGCGCTGTGGCTCAATTGGTAGAGCGCTAGCTTTGAGCTGAAGAGCTGAGGGACAGTGACCAAGCCCAGAGTTCAGGCCCCACGACTGGACCCCCCCAAAAAGATAACCAAGTTATTCTTCATTTTGCAACATTTTCTAAGGTCCCATCTAAAATTGTAGAGGATCTCTCCTGTACTACAAGAGGTCCTGTTAGGCTTAATCTTCATAAGCATATCAAGCCCAGCTCTGCTGGTTTGCCATCTGTACTATACTAGTCCAGCTCAGATTCTGCACAAAGAATACATTCCGTTGCTCAGTCTTAGCATTAAAAATATTCACTGCTTTACCAAAACAGATACATATTACTTAACAGCTACTGATTTAGCAGGGTCATCATTATGTACAACCATTATTTTACTAGCAGAAATATAATAGCATGATTAACATTTGGGGTTTCTATTTTTCCCTTATATAGAATGGCTTCAGATACCTGTGATTTTCCATTCATACCTTTTGTTTCCTTCTTTATCAACAGCTTCAATGCAGTGGTACCGCCATTGCTTTAACTTATTACTGCATCTGATTCTAATCTGTTATAAAGACAGGAAATATCTAAAGGAGACCACAAGAAACTGTGTGATGCTCAGTAAATCCTAATGTAATGATGAAAACACAGACACCTTGGAACTCTCAAACCCACTAAAACCAGGAAAGACTGATATTCAATAGAACAAGACCAGCAGGTGGTGAAGATGGAGATACAGATTTAAGCTCAAATTAAAAGACTGTGCTCAAGCTTTAGTCATGGCCGGGATGAGGATGATGCCATTGTTAACAAGACTGTGATTGCCATATACTCTGTATTTTGGGAGTACAGTTTATGCATTATTTAGTTCAGTACTGTCATTCCGCTGAGTAGGTATATTTATATAGTATGAATTGAAGCATTATTATTGCATTTCAGAAAATTCAGACTTGGTTTATATAACCTTAAAAAGAATACACATTTCAGGTTTGGAATCACTTATAGGGCTTGCTTGATTTTACGCTCCGAGGTGTATAACTACCAAGTTCTTCTGCCTCCCAAGGACAATTTATTGAGAAAATGAAGCATTTTCCACATTCACTAATTCTGACCTCCTTATTTTATGGATAAAGACACTAAGGCTGATAATACAATAATATGAGTTATTTTCCTATGTCCAACTTTCTATCCCTAAGCACGGAACATCTTCTTAACTGCTTTTTTTTTTTTTTTCCGGTTGTGGGGCCTGAACTCTGGGCCTGGGCGCTGTCCCTCAGCTCTTCAGCTCAAGGCTAGCACTCTACCACTTGAGTCACAGCACCACTTCCGGCTTTCTTCTTTTTGCTTATGTGGTGCTGAGGAATCGAACCCAGGGCCTCAGGCATGCAAGGCAAGCGCTCTACCACTGAGCCAACTTCCCAGCCCCTTCTTAACTGCTTTTAATGTGTAGTCCTTATAGTTCTATCTCCTGACACTTGTCTTCCTCTCCAGACCTGGCACTGGAAACTGCTGTTTTGTTGATCAATGGAGTCCTGCTCATTGCCAAATATATGTATATATGTGTATATTAATATTTGTATGTATGTTAGTATCTTAAATATTTTTGTTCTTTCTTTTTGGTCAAGGGGCTTGAACTCTGAGCCTGGGCCTGGGCCTGGATGCTGTCTTTGAGCTCTTCAGTTCAAGGCTAGTGTTCTACCACTTAGTGACACAGCTCCACTTTCAGTTTTCTGATGGTCAATTGGAGATATGACTCTCATAGATGTTTCTGTCCAGGATGGCATTGAACTGTGATCCTCAGATCTCAGCATCCTGAGTAGCTAGGGTTACAGGTGTCTGGCCTCACACTCTTCATTTTATACTTTTGCCCTTCTTAACTCTTGGTCCTAATATATGCTGACTCTTCTCCTCATTTCTATCACTGGATACATTATTTCTTACCATATGATAAGTTCTCTTAAAAGTGAGTAACTTAAAACGAAATCCATTTCTTTACTTCAGAATGCTACAAGTCAGTGATTTGGGATGCTCAGTTCTATAGCTCATCCAGTCTCTCACCAGTTTCCATAGTTAACTATCAGCCTGGCTAGAACATAGTTGATCAAGTGTTATCTTTTACCTAGAGTGGTCTTTTTATGCTATAAGACCTTTCTTATTCTCCAGCCTGGGTTTTCACTCATGGCAGCTTCTTGAAGATCTATGTAAAATTTTATAAAAGCTCTTTGTGGCAAACCATTAGTTCTGCTGCATTCTGTTGAGAAAAGCAAGTCCAAAAGTTTTACCAAAATTCAAGATGACAGGGAAGGAACCTTTACCCCCCATGGGAAAAAATTTAAAAATCAAATTGTATGGAACATGTAAAGGAAGCTATAAAGAAAGGACTCTGCACATACTTTGTAATATATGACAATCTCTTTAGCAAAGTCCACTTGTGTGTTTTAAGCATAACTACAATTTTCATGTTCACTTTTAGAATTTTTCCTTCCTTTTCTTCCTTTCCTTCTTTTGCCAGGCTATTCCCAGGCTTCAGACACCACTTTTCCCAGATAATTTCAAGTCTTATTCATTTCTTATTCAGTTCTTACTCAACTCTTACTCTGGCCGGAAGCTCTTAGAGAGAGAATGCCCAAGTACTACTAGAAAGATACCCGGTTCCCACACTTCCTTGAACACAATAGATTAATAGACTAAACTCGTTATTCTCCCATAAGCCTATTCCTTTTTGAAAAACAAATGTTCTCTCATTTGTTTTCTATTCTGTCCAGATCCTTAGCAATCTCAGGAACATTTCCTATTTATCTTCCCTTTAGTCACCACACTCAATCATTCAGAAAATCTCAATCACTCAACTCATCTTCTTATTATGTTCATGTCTCATGTTACCTGTTTTAGCCTGCGTCATTTCTTGTGAAATTATAGATTTTCTTTGTCTGTTGTGTTTGAACTCAGGACCTGGGCATTGTCCCTAGGCTGTTTGCTCAAGGCTAGTGCTCTAGCACTTTGAGCACTGTTCTACTTTCAGTTTTCTGCGTGTTAATTGGAGGTAAGAGTCTCATAGACTTTCCTGTCCAGGATGGCATTCAACTGTGATCCTCAGATCTTAGCCTCCTGAGTAGCTAGGATTACAACAAGTGTAAGCCACCAGCACCTGATAAGAGATTATCTTATTCACTGTACCTTTTCTTTTTCACATACATATTCTCCAATTTCAGGATAGTATTCTTAAAACATATTATCTTATCATGTAATTTATTATTTAAACATCCTTTCAAAGTTTCTCACATGGAATAAAAGTTTGCTGAACACATGGAATAAAAGTTTGCTGAACCTTTTTGTTAAAGATTCAAGAATGTCCTTGAAAGTATATAAAGTTAAGGGTTATCATTCCCTTATGGACTATTTCTGTGACTCCTGTGGATACCAGCATGGCTGAATCATTGTAGTTGTTCAGTAAATACTTGCTGTATGGACGAATGAATGAATTTATTAGGTAATTTAGGCAGAGAGAAGTTGTGAAGGTCCTATGTGTTATGCTATAAAGGGTAAAAAGACTTATAAGTCAATTGTTTAGATCGTAGTCCAATTCACCGCCTGCTTAGAAGGAGATCTTGGACAATTTATTTAGAAAATCTGAGTCTAGGTTTCTTGGTTCACAAAGCAAAAATAATTATAATTAAATTACCAAACTCTTGTATGACTATCAAATGATGAATGTGACACTAACCTGTAAAATTCCCTTGAATACATCTCTATAGTGTTATTCATCTCCATCAATAACCTCAGAAAGAGCAAGTACATCAGATTCACATGTCACAATGTGTGATGAAGACCCAACCATGGGAACTAGGATTTACAATTGGGTGATAATCAAGTATCAAGATACTAGCAAAGTATTTTTAAAAACAAGCAAACAAACAAAAAAAAAAAAAAACAAAGAAAAACTCTGTGGTTCAGGACTGAAAAGCACAGCAAGAATTTAGACACAGAAAAAGAAAAATTGGAAGTAGTCTTAGAGATAAGGCATAAGCCATATAGGAGAAAGTCTAGACATTCTACTAGGAAGCATAGATAGAATGTGAGAGGACAAGGTCAATTGATCTGGAAGTGATAAGCTTCTTAGGGTTCCTAGCTATGCTCAGAGTTTGAACTTGAGTCGGTAAAAATATCAGAAAGATATGGCTCTATCTGCAAAGGAAAGCAGTTCAAGGGCAGAGGACACAGCTGTTCTTTCTCTTGGAAGTCTCTTTATTGAGCCATTAGCATGTGTATTTGGGAGATCATACAATTCATACTGTCTGCAAATACACAAGAGAATCATCCACTTCAGAGAAATAATATTAGTTTGATCTCTTTCTCAAAAGATACCTTCATTTTTGTTCATTAAAATGTTTCTTTTGGTTTTTCTTCATTCACAGTCAAATTTTGTGATTATTATCAAGAAATACAAAACAGTAACATCTCAAATAACTCAATTATGAAATGTAGATACAGTATAACCAATTATGTTATTCCTGAAACTATAATTTGCTTGCTATTTTCAGGTATAAGTTTTCTTGTTTACTTTTAAGTTAGAGAAGGTAGACAATACATTATAGAATTGATTTAATTATATAGTCTTTGCTCTTCGCCTACCTTTCTAATCACTCTCAATATCTTCCACGTCTGGATGACAGTTTGGTTTCATCTTATTCCCTTAATTCTGATTGAGTGGCAATGGCTACCTAGAGCAGCATGTTCAGGAAAATTCAAAAATGAAAGGCACAACTTTTGCAGCATACTTGAAAATCTATGCTACATAGTGGCATATTGATTTTTGTTCTATTAGTTGTATCAGTGATTTTTAATTATGGCCTATATAGGTTTTCCAAGTTAACTACAGCCTTACAGCTCTGAAGGACAGGACACACACAATGATTTGAGTGGCTGCCACTCATTTCCTCTTGAAATGGTACATAACTGACACTATAGAAAAGATGCAGCAATGAAATTAATAATTGTATACATAATATGGTTAACTTAGAATAATTATTAACTTTCCACAAAATGAGAAAATCTGAGGTGGCCCAGTGAGTACTTCAAAAGCTGTTTCAAGGTGCAGGTGCTAAACTAAGATGGGAAATTTATATTTAACCCTTTTGTTTGAGGACATGAGCCTGGTTTTCCTAATTGTATGACAGGCATAAAGACATCCCACAAGGGCCCAATTCAGAATCCACTTACAAAATGTGTTTCAAAAGATATCAATAAAGATTTTTCTCTCATCTTGATATTTTAAAGTTCTTTCTCTTCCTTTACATGCATATAAAATGTATGAGATAAATACAAATATTTTGTATATTTTGCTATTCCTCTTTATACCAAGAGATGGTTTAAAAAATAATATGGGAGTTGGAACAGATATTATCAACCCTTGAGATAAATCTGTACTCTGGAGTAGGAAAATCAGACCAATAATATCATCATTAACAGAATCCTCATATAAAAGGGTTGAATGTAAATTTCCATTTTTTACTTTAGCACCTGGATTTTAAAACAGCTGCCTTTTGATCATTTACAAATTCCTTCAAATAGTGTTTCCTTTCCTGTGTTGTATACTAACTACTGTAATTAACATAATTTTGGCAAACCTGTAATAATCTATGTGTAGATTTTGTGAATTGTGTCTAATACTGCCTTTAGGTAGATAGAAGCTATTTACAGCAGATCTGCTTTTTGGCACAGGTCATTTCAATGCCCTATAAATTATTAATCACAAAGAAACCTACATTATTGCAGACCTTGGATCATAAAGTGGGACCTAGAAACTAAATGAATGTAAAGTTCCCATTCTCCAAGAAATATTCATTTTCTCACATAGCTTATTTTATACACTTATTTGTTCTATATTTAGAAACCCAATTAACAGCCCAACATGATATGTGGAGTGTGGAAAAATTCCTGTTATTACAAATACTCTGAACTGCACTCATTTATTAAATGGTTATTTACTATGCACCTGTTCATATACAGTATTGAGTGAAAAGAAGGACAGAGTACAGGGCATATATAATCACAGATGCCTTACAGTCCTGAAGGAAGAGGCAAACAACTCAGGTAAATAAAAATTAGTCATAAAATTTTTCATCAGTGTTAGGGAAGGCATCAGCAGTTGGCTGAACTAAAGTTGTAAATATTATCTGTGAATGAACTTTTTACCCTAGGACTCTCATTTCAGTATGTTGCACCTATGCCAAGAAGACTGTAAGTGCAAGCTCAATGCAGAGACAGATTACATGTGAACTAAATCTGCCTAAGTGGTCTACTACCTGGTAGTAAGCCACTGAAGAGATTTGGATTGTACATGTTTGAAACTGAGCTGATTTTTTTTTTTTCGTTTAAGAGGTAACTGTAACAAGAGGATTGTAGGGGACAACAAGCATCAGAAAGATGCCACTTACTGCATCAATTCTGGCCATTGATAACTGAAGCCTGGATATAGAGAGGTATAGAATAGATTACTGTGGTATTTATTTGAAAGGTAGAATAAACAGAATTGCTGATAGTGTAGTGGGTGGAGGATATGCTGAGAGAAAGAAAGGAATCAAGAGCAATTCTTATATTTCTGATTTAAGTAATAGTGTTATTTGCTAAGGTCTCTGACCTGACACCAGGATATTATTCCCATAGTCTTAGCTACTTAGGAGGCTAAGATCTGAGGAGTATAGTTCAAAGCTAACCCTATGTATGAAAAATCTGTGACTTGTATCTGCAATTATTTAGCAAAAATCTGGAAGGAGAGCTGTGGCTCAAGTAGTAGAGTACCAGTCTTAAGCAAAAAAGTTAAGAGACGGT